ACATAATTAATGGTATCTTTCATAAAAGAAAGGGCCTGCAGCTGGAATGCAGATGCTGTGACAGGAGGTGCTATTCCCACAGAAGCTCAATTCTACGGTACAGGGTGAGAGGCCATTGCAGAGGAGGAAAACGGGTGGGCTCTTGCTCTGCCCCGGCTTAGCCAGCAGGGGCAGCAAAGAGCTGATGCAAACCTTTCCTGCTATCCCTTCCCATGTCTAAATCTGGGGAAGTTTGTGCTATCAGGAACCGCCAGGCTCACGGCTTTAGTCAGTCATGGTGACACAGGCTCTGCTGCCCACTCTGCTCCTCTGTTATGTTGCTGCTGTCACTGGCTCAGGGAGGGCACCCGGAATGGAAGAAGATGCCTAGTAGGTGATGGACAAGGAGTGTCTGAAGGATGGTACCTCTCTGAATACTCAGTTCTGCCCACAGCACGGTGCTGGCTCTGGGCCATCCCAATCGAGGACCATCCTGCCCGAGACCCAGTGCTAAGCCTCTGAGGGGCACAGCGGAAATCCCTGCAGTATGAGTGGCACCCAGTGGCCCGAGAGGAGATCTGAGTCTCTCTTGGCAGCTACTCGTTACTTGCTCCCGCTCCCTGTCAGGAAGCCAGGCCTGTGAGAAAGGGCCTGGTCTACGCCGCCGCCACTGCTCATCTTTCTGAAAGCGCCAAGCACATAACATACGGCTTACTCTTCTATGGGAATCTTTGCAGGTAGCTCCTGAGTAGGAGGGTTGGTTGTGCTTCCTGAACCCAAACTCACCCCAAGCCACAGGCAAAAGAACGTCAGCAGAAATACTACCCACGCTGCAGTCTGAGCTCCTCTGTTCCTGTCAAATGGAGCAGAACTTATGGAGAGAACCAGGCTCTTCGACGCCCACTGTGGGTAACCACCAAGACCTGGGCTGTCTTGCCACCCATTCTGCTCTTTCCAGGCTCTCTCTCTCTCTCTCTCTCTCTCTCTCTCTCTCTCTCTCTCTCTCTCTCTCTCTCTCTCTCTCTCTCTCTCTCTCTCTCTCTGGCCTGGAGGTGCTATTTTACTCACATAGCCAGCCCTCCCAAGGGGATCTGCCCATGTTCTTATAGCCTGAGAACATTCCTCAGTTGGAGCCCAGGGTAAGCCTAGGCCTTTTTCCCATCCCTGTCCACACTAACCACAGTTTCTGACCTCCTTTTGGGATTGAGGTTGAAGTCGGTTTATAACAGGGGTAGTGAGATCTGGGTGGGGTGATGCATTTTTTAACCCCAACACTGGTGAGACAGAAGTAGGTTGATCTCTGTGAATTTGAGGCCAGCCTGGTCTACATAGTGAGTTCCAGGCTAGCAAAGGCTATATAGTGATACTCTGTCTCAAAAAATTATTCATAATGAGGATAATGAATTCGGGGTAGTCAAATGACAAGCCTCAGGTGTGCATACATGTGTGTGTGTGTGTGTGTAACTAACATGACTAGAAGGAGGAGTTTTCTCTGGAGTCTCTCATTTCTGCCCATTACTTGAACCCAGAGGCAAGCTTGGGAAGACTCTGCAGCTCTTGCCTCTGTCCATCACTCCTCTGTGTGGCTGGCTACTCTGGAAGCAAGGCCGGGTTGGGCCATCATGCATTTCACTAACCGTTCTCAGCCCTTCTCCTCTGCTGATTCGTGCTAATGCTGCCGGGGTGAGCTCACACAGGGTGGCTCCCAGGCTTGCTCACATCTGTGGACAGCAATCCCCGGACTTTCAGATTCCTTCCTCTGCACTTACAACTCCTCTGAGGTGATCCTGCAGCTTGGCGCAGAGTGAGGTGTGCTGATCAGGGGTGCAGGAGTGTAAATGGAGTTCTTAATTGGTCTAAATAATAAAAACCGGGAGGCAGGTAGAGGGAAATGCTGAGAGACCAGAGAGAAGAAGGAACAAGCCTCAGACACACTTACTTTATCAGATTCCCAGCGGAAAAGACAGCAACTTCCTGTTTCTTCCTGCTCGTATCCTCTCCGCCCAGCCATCTCAGTTCCTGTCTGTCTGTACAGACCTCCAGACCTCTATGGCTAGCTAGTGGCTAGCTCCATCCTCTGAAATTCAGACAAGCTTTATTTGTACAAGCAAGATACCACCACACAGCATGGCATCAGATATGCAGAAAATTCAGACAGGCAGGCCTTGCTCAGAGGCTGAGCTGTGCTCCTGGGTCACTCACCTGGGAACACAGCAAGGAGGAAACTCCTCTCTGAGGCCAGAGGCCCTGATCCACCTCAAACATTGCAGCATCTGGGTATTTCAGGTTCCTCCTCACTGATGCTGAGCCTCCCCTGCACAGGGAGCCTTGGGAGAAAGACCATGATCAAAACCAACGTAGACATCTTTAGAGGCAGGTGAACAGTGAGCGCTGGCCCTCCCAGGAATCTAACCTATTACTAAGCATCTTTCCAGGCCGTGGCCCAACACTCTAGGAGACAATATAAAAAGAAACAGCATTGGGCTTGAGAGATGCCTCTGGGGTTAAGAGTATGTCCTGTTCTCCCTGAGGATTCGAGTTTGGCTGCCAGGATCCATGTTGGGAGGTGTATAAAACTGCCTGTAACTACAGTAGCAGGGGATCCAGCACCCTCTTCTCCACGAGCACCTACACACATGTGTCATACACACTCACATGCACAGAAGTAATCCTAAAAAGAAGCATTGCTTGCGGGGGTCATATAGAGAGGAACTGTCTACCCCTGTCTGGAACTCTTCCATTAATTAACCAGGACCTCGAGTGTCTCTCTGGTCCTTCCAGCCTTCTAGTTTTCTCTGGTTTGGTCCCCACCTCCTCCCAGCTTCTTTTCTGCCATTCCTCTCGATTCTCTCTTGGCTACTCTGTAGAACTTTTCAGCTGCCTCTTGCTACTGTCACTGCTGTCACAGATGCCATCACTGAGCTCTGCTACCTCTCTCCTGCCTCCTCCCACTGTAGTTGCCATGACAACTCCAGTTCCTGGCTCCTGTCACCCCCACACCACTGCCCCCTCTGTGGTTCCGCCCCTGCTGCTCCTCTGTTGCCTGCTGTCACTTACATCTTTGTGTTACCAGCGTGGTGTGCTCTAATGGTAGGTATCAAAGTAAACAAGAGAAGGCCTCTGTGGATTGAAGAGAAGGCTCAGCAGTTAAGAGAAACAGCTGTTCTTGCAAGAGGACAGGAGTTTGGGTCCCAGCACTCACAAGCCTGCTCACTCTGCTGCCCTCCTCTGGCCCTGCCAGGAACTGCATGAATGTGGTGCATAGATAACGATGCAGGCAAAACAACAGAATTTAAAAAAGAACAATCAAGAGAAGCCTAACTGGGCCCAAGGCTGCAAAACCAGAAGGAAAGACACAGGAAGACAGCATGTGGAGTTTCAGCCTGTTTAAAACCCTGAAAAGGGTGTTCTTACTGCGGGCCCTATGACAGTGAGACAGCGAAGATGCCTGTTTACCACTTTTCTGTTTACATCATTGACAACAGCTGCCCTGATAGGTCACTGGGGCCAGCCCCTCCCCCTGGCCTAGGGGGAAACTGTTACAGAGGAAGTTCAGCATGAACTCTTGAACAGAATTGTGTCTGGAGTGACAGCTTCAGGAGCTGGAGTTGTGGTAAGATAGCACACACACACTCACACACACTCACACACACTCACACACATTCACATACATACTCACACATGCACTCACACACGTTCACACACACTCACACTCACATATACTCACACACACACTCACACACACATGCACACACACTCACACACACACACACACACACACACACGCACGATGTTAAAAGCACAGGCAACAAAAGCAAGAATTGACAAATGAGATAATCTCATGCTCAAAGCTCCTCACTGCTCTGATAGGCTCATCACTGGTCTTTGCTGACTGGTGACTGTGATTTTGGGTTTTGGTGTGGTTCAACCTTTTCTGCCACCATTCAATGGGTGAATTCTTCAGACGTGCAATCCCAGCATCCAGGACGCTGAGACAGGTGGACTGTGAGCTCCATGCCACCCTGGACTACACAGCAAGATCTTGTCTACAAAGTAAAACAAAAAACTAAAGCAAAACAAGAAAACAACAAAAGTCCCAAATGGTGAAATATATTTAAAGCTATAGAAAATATTTAATATGTTAATTACATTGAAACTATTCACAGAATTAGGGCCTGGAGAGATGTCTCAGAACAACACAGAGGACCTGAGCTCAGTTTCCAACATCCATGTCAGCTGACTCACAAGTCCCTTTAGTTCCAGCTCCAAGGGCTCAGATGCCCTCTTCTGGCCTCCATAGGCACTGCACCTATGTGGTGCTCATAAACAAATGCAAGCATCAGACCCCCAGGAAGCCAAGTTACAGGGGATTGTGAGCTGCTTTGTGGGTGCTGGGAACCAAACCCAGGTCCTCTGCAAAGCAGTGTGTGGTGTGAATGAGAATGTACTCTCTGGATTATGTATCTGAAGACTTGGTCGCCCATTGCTGGTGTTGTTTGGGATGTTTTGGGGAGGTATGGCCTTGATGAAGCAAGTGTGTCACTGCTCAGAACAGCAGACTTGGAGAGTTTGTGGCCTCATCCTGCTACCAGCTATCTTTGTCTGCTTGAGGACCATGACTGAAGATGTGATCTTTCAGCTTCTTGGTGCTCCCACATGCCTGCAGCTGGCTGCCATTCCTTCCTGTCATGGACTCCTATCTCTCTGGAGCCATAACTCAAAATAAACTACATCTTCCATAAGTTGCCTTTGGCCATGGTGTTTTATCACAGCTACAGAGGATATATATATTACTCATCGCTGAGCCATCACTCCAGCTGCCAAGTCTAGGTGTTACATTTGTGTGCCAATACTTATGTCTGATCTCTCTTGGATGAGAAATTTTCCCCTGGCATGAAGCCCACAGGGACACTGTCAGGATGACGCTATCAATGGAGAAATGAATAGGACGGCACTTTACAAAGACATCCCACGGTGCTGCAGAGAAACAGACTCACAGACCTTTCACTCCCACAGCCACCCAGGCTTCTGAGTGTGTTGCAGAAGGGACTCAGGTGGGGGTGCACGTTGTCCTAGCAGCAAGAAGAAAAGCAGCAACCAGGCACAAGGTCCTGTGTGTACCCACCTTAAGATCTGAGATAGATCTGACCCAATTGGAGGCAGGAGCAAAGTCCCAATCACTGACGTTTATTCCTCTCAACTTGCCCTGTGTGCAGACGCTCCCCTCTCCTTGGGACTGAGAACAGAGCATCCCCAGCCAAAGGATTATCAGCGCCTCTCACTGAGAACATCGTCAGAGGTAGGCAAAGATCAGAGTCTGGGAGTGTAAGTGAGCCTATGGACACTGATTTGGGGATTGCTTTAACCAGTGGTTCTCAATCTTCCTAATGTTGCAACCCTTAAGTGTAGCTCCTCACGTTGTGGTGACCTCCCGCCATGAAATTATTACATTACAACTTCATAAATATTTTTGCTCCTGTCATGAATCATAATGTAAATATGTGACATGCAGGATGGTAAAGGGGTCAAGACCCACAGGCAGAGAAACAGGAGGGTTTCTTGGTGTTCCAATAGGATGGAATACCCACGGTAGGATGAGATCTTAGTCTATTTTATTAACATAAAACTCAACGAAGTTGGTAAATGTGCCATGTCCATGTAAGAGAAAGACCTTTTGTTAAAAGTCCCTCGCTGAACTATTTAGAAATGAGAACAATGGATCAGATCGACTCTTTCGTTGTGACATCTCCATACACACATAAAACTCTACTTTGCTCCTTTTAGTTTTGAGACATGGTCTCACTGCAGCTCTGGCTGTCCTGAAACTCCCTATATAGACCAGGCTGTCCTCGAACTCACAGAGATCTGCTTGTCTCTGCTTCTTGAGTGCTAGGATTAAAGGCGTGCACTAGCATGCCCAGCTGTAATTTTTTTAATATTTAAATTCTGCAATAGTCTATATGTAGATTTTGTAAGTCCCAAGTCGTAGTTTGAATTATCTTTTAATCAAGGAAAGGAAGAACATACGATAAACATTTTCTTTAGCAGAGGGAAAAAGTGAGGCACTTCATAGCTATTGTTTGGCCAAGGTGGAGGTCAGATGCTATCGAGTGGAGGGGGAGGCTTCTAACTAGAAGACTGAATGTTAAAAAAAAACCGTAAGTGTGTCCCCTTGGTTCACACCTTTTTTTCCCAACTGATATGTTTGATCTCCAGCAGCCCTGGGAAGAAAAAAAAAAGAGTCTCCAGACACTTCCGGTCAGCATCATGAGGCCCTCTCTGCTCCCGATTGTGGTGTTCCTCTGCATGCTGCTGTTGCCTGCCCGGGGAGGGAAGAAGACATATTCTCGTAGGTAGTGAGGATGCCCTGAGAGCCAGGGCCAGGCAGGTGCTCACTTTGGAACAAGCGAGTGGGTGTCATGTGAACCAGGGTCGGGGCTGTGCTCACTTCCCGACAAGGCAGTGGGTGTTGTGCTGGCATTTTGATCCAGGTGCTCCTTCCCAGACCAGCTGTTGCAGAATGTGAGAAATCCTCCGTCTGGGAAACTTCCCAAACAACAGCATTCATAATACACCCGAGCAGTGAAGAGAATATTTCCCAGTCCCTCTGAGGATCGAGAGCCAATACAGAACTCCCCCCTCCAAACTTACAGAAGTTCTGTGGTTCCTTTCATGAGAACCAAATGGGTATTTATTAAAGAAACTCGAGAGTACATACATCTTTTAGAAAGCGAAAAAGCGCCAGAGACCTTAGTGGAGGATCAGTGGAGGAAGCAGATCGAGACCTGAGGACTTGGAGAGAGGCGACTGAAGAGGTTCAGTGGGTAAAGCATGGTCAGGAAAGCCTGAGGACCAGGGTTTGAACCTTGGAACCCACATAAATACGGAAGAAGGGAGCCAATGCTACAGAACTGTGGCCTGTCCTCCACGTGTGTCATGGAACAGTCAGACAGGAAGGAATACAGAGAAAACCTGGTTCAAGCCAGGCACGATTGAGCATGCCTGTAATCCCAGCACTTGGGAGGTGGAAGCAGGAGTTTGGGGGCATCTTTAGCTTTATGTGAGCTCAAGGATAGCCTAGGCTACATGAGAGCCAAACTCAAAAACAAAACTGAACTGAAGGCGAGGATGTAATCATTTCACTATACCCGAGATAAACGATAAATGGGTGTTTATTGGGGACCAATTACACAGAAAAATACTAACAACCATGGGATCGCTTCTCTGCCCTTCCTACGGATCCTCTGACCCACCAAAAAGAAAGAGCAAAGGAAAGCCATGCCTCAAACTTCCCCCTTTCCACTTCTGTCTGCCTGATGCCACGCCCAACGGGGTGTGGCCACCTTTACAAGTTCACTGCAAGACTGCTACACAAAACCAGAAAGCTTATTCAGACTCTGTCTACCTGAGACAGGTATTGTGATGAAGGCAGTAGATATCTCAGACTTTATCACTTGTTAAAGCAATCTATATTTCATAAATGGGCACATGCATGTTGGGATATACAGAATCTGTTAAGTCCTATGGCAGCTGAGGTAATGAATTCAGTGGAGAGCCTGTGAAATCAGGACCAAACAGATGACATCACGGTGAGGGAACACAGAAGATAGACACCATGACGGGGATATGAGACCCTGACTCTGGGAGGAAGCTCAGACCTCAGAAAGGGCTTGTCTTACAATGTCTGCCTGTGGGACTCTATTAGCCTCTTGTCATTTCATTTCCATTTCAGAGGGAGAGCTGTTACTTGAGGAGTGCTGGGGACAGCCAAAAGCTAATGATTGTACCAAGAGGTGTTCTCGAACTTTCAAATGTATACACAGAAATCACACATGCTGCTGGACCTACTGTGGTAACATCTGTGCAGAAAATGGGGTGAGCTGCAGATGTGTGTGGTGGCCATTGTCTTCACTGATGCCACCCTCTGCCTCAGACTGTTATTTCTCAACAGAAGACAAAGTCTGCCAAATCTGAGACACACAAGACACACACACAGACAAACACACACAGAGACCCACACACACACACACACACACACACACAGACACACAAAGACACACACACAGACCCCCACACACAGAGACCCACTCACAGACACACACACACAGACCCACACACAGACAAACACACACACAGAGACCCACACACAGACACACACACACAGACCCACACACAGACAAACACACACACACACACACATAGACCCACACAGAGACAAACACTCACAGAGACCCACACACAGACAAACACTCACGCATACAGAGAGACCCACACACAAACACTCACACACACATAACGACCCACACACAGACAAACACTCACACATAGAGACCCACACACAGACAAACACTCACACACACACACACACAGACCCACACAGACAAACATTCACACACATACAGAGACCCACATACAAACATACACACAGAGACCCACACACAGACAAACACACACACAGAGACCCATACACAGACAAACACTCACACACACAGAGACCCTGACACAGAGAAGTACTCATACATAGAGACCCACACACAAACACTCACACATACACAGATTCCCACATACAGACAAACACACACACAGAGACCCATACACAAACACTCACACACACATAGAGACCCACACACAGGCAAATACTCACACACACACAGAGACCCACACACAGACAAGCACTCACATACATACAGAAAGGCAGACACAGACATATATAGATATAGCTAGACACACCCAGACACACACAGACATACATAGACTCATCCACATACGCCTCCCATAGACATGTATAGATAATACAATAGACAGACAGACAGACATATTAATTATGTACTACATAGACTTACATAAACATATCCACACACCCAAACCTGTATAGACAAACACATAGACACATACACACAGACATACACTTACACCACTCACCCTACAGACAGAACCACACACACACACACAAACACACACAGATACATATACACCATACACACAGGATCACACTCAGACAAAGACCAACATACAAGTAGGCAGACACATAGACAGCCATACAATATACACACACAGACACACACACACACACGTGGAGGGAGGGAGGGAAGGAGGGAGAGAGGGAGGGAAAAAGAGGAAGGGGAAGGGCTGGGGAAAGGGAGAGAAAGAGCTAGAAAGAAATGTTCTCCAAACAGGGAAAGCAATTTGATGGTACATCACAGTTTTTTTTGTGTGTGTTTTTGTTGTCATTGTTGTTTTGGAGGGGGTCTCTCTGTGTAGCCCTGACTGTCCTGCAACTCAAGACGATTATCAGGCTGGCCTCAAGCTCACAGAGATCTGCCTGCCTCTGCCTCCCAAGTGCTAGGGTGAAGGCGTGCCTCTTTTAAATACCTATTTCCCAATCGGTCTGCATTTGTAATCGTTGACTCCATCAATAGACTTCTCTGGGGTTACACTGGGCTCAGCCAGATTTCTCAGTGTCTGGAAGTGGACAGGTTATGGTGCTGGTTATAGGATGTGTCAGCCAGTGGGAACCAGATTACAGCTTGAGGATGAACGCTTGTTTGTCAGAAACCTGTTTCTCTCAGAGTCTAAACTTTCTCTTTTTACAGAAGTTTTTTGAGAGAAAGAAATGAGCCTGCCTTCTCTCTGGCCCAGCCTCACGAGAGTTCGCGGATGGTTAGACTTCAGAGAGAGGCTGCACACTTACGATTGGAAACACTGTGTTTATGGTGGGTAAGGTCAACATACTGGAAAAATAAACCACTTGCTCACAGTTGGCTTCAGTGATCCATTCCTTTCCTCTCTTCACATCTCTCCACTCTTCTCCCTGAACATCTTGCTTTAAAATTATTTATTCTTTTACAATTTCACATCATATATGATATTATTTGATCAAAGTCCCCTTACTACTGACTTACAAACTCTCCATTCCCATCAAAACCCTTCTTTCAAAGTCCTTCTCTTACTCTTTGATTTTTGAGACAGGGTTTCTCTGTATAGCTTTGAGCCTGTCCTGGAACTCACTGTGTAGACCACGTTGACCTGAAACTCACAGAGACTCACCTGCCTCTGCCTCCTGAGTTGTGGGATCAAAGGTGTTCACCACCACAATAGGTTCCTCTCCTACTCTTGATTGTACTATAATAAATCCTAATTGTAGGAATTTTACCACATTATGTGACTTAGAATTCACAATCTACTCTTATGGACTTTCTCGGGTACCATTTTCATGTGAGGAATTGGCAAGTAACCCATTTAATTTCATTTTTTGAAAGAGAAGTTCTTTCATAATATTTTTGGTTATATGGAGGTAATTCTTTATGCTACATTAAACGAAGTAAATAAATGTATGAGTACCTATAGCAGGATCCAGGTTTCTAACAAACGGGGAGACATCTACAAGGAAACCTTCATCAAAGCAAGATACATCCCCAGTGACAGCAGCCTCAGGCTGCTCCCAGAACCAGGCTGACCTGCATAGGCCTATGTCGTGATATCTTACTTGTACAAATAAAGCCTATCTGAAGATGAGAGCGTGGAGCTTGGCACTAACAACCCTTGAGGTCTGGAGATCTGTACAGACAGACAGGAAGTGAGATGGCTGGGCACAGACAGGATGTGAGATGGCTGGCACAGACAGGAAGTGAGATGTCTGGCAAAGACAGGAAGTGAGATGGCTGGCCACTGACAGGAAGTGAGATGGCTGGGCACAGACAGGATGTGAGATGGCTGGGCACAGACAGGATGTGAGATGGCTGGGCACAGACAGGAAGTGAGATGGCTGGGCACAGACAGGAAGTGAGATGGCTGGCACAGACAGGAAGTGAGATGGCTGGGCACAGACAGGAAGTGAGATGGCTGGCACAGACAGGATAAGAGCAGGAAGAAACAGGAACTGGCTCTCTTATCCACTGAGAGGCTAAGGAGGTAAAGGTGGCTTTGGCTTGCTCCTTCTCTCTGATCTCAGCATTTTCCTCTAAATCTGACTCCAGATTTAGACCAATTAAGAACACATTTTACAGTCCTAATTATTAGTCTGTGGACCTAGACTTCTTGATGTCCTATACAGATACTTCCTATAGTCCTCCAGCACAGAATGCTACACACCTTGCCCCAAGGCCACAACTTCAGACTGAGCCTTTAAACCTACCTTGGACACCAGGGAGACACTGTAAATTAAGGATCCAGGACAGCCTGGGTGACTCTCTTCAAACTTGCTTCAGGACCTGGTCAACCCCAAGACCAAAGCTTCAGGCTTGTGCTAGGCCAGTCACACCCAACCCCATTAGTTGGCCGAGTTGGCTTCTAAACTCCAGGCTCTAGACCACTGTTAATACCAGGTTGTTGTTATTCTAGGCCTAAAGGCCACACCAGCATGAGGCTGACCCTCCCACCTCTGGTCCCAGTGTCTAGGCTTGTCTGCATCCAAACAGATTGCAGGCCCACCCGGCTGTAAGCTATGTTGTGGCTGCAGGTTTCGATCATATCTCATGAAATGTCAGAAGCCATGGCTTTAAATACCAGTTGGGCACCTGCACATACTCAACCCATATCCCAGTAGACGCAAGTCTCATGTCTATCTCTAGACCTGAGAGCTGAACCCAGGCTCCACAGATACACTTATGTGTTTTAGGTCCAGGCTGACTCCAAAGAGCCCAGTGTTCAGGCTGGGTATTGCCTCTAGACTCTCATCTGAACACGTAGCATTCAGGCCAGCACCAGGGGACACGGCTGCAAGTGATACCCAATGATTCCAGGTTCCAGGCGAGTGCAGCATGAGCCTACCCTACCTTATGTTGAGTAGATGCAAAACTCCAGACAAAATACTAACAAAGCAACTCTCACATGCAAAAAGGACCACTCATCATCATGAGGTTGGCACAGCCCACACATGGAAATCTCTAAATGTTACATAAGGTCAAATTTATATGATCATCTTTCAGAAATAAAGCAAAACAAAACTTAGACAAATGCTTAGTTAGGGTTACTATTGCTGTGATGAAACACCATGACAAAGAGCAAGTTGGGATGGAAAGGCTTACACCCTTTTCATCATCAAAGGAACTCAGGACAGGAACTCACACAAGCCAGGAACCTGGAGCCAGGGGCTGACACAGAGGCCATGGAGGAAGGCTGCTTGCTGGCCTGTTTCTCATGGCGTGCTCTGCCTGCTTTCTTGTAGAACCCAGGACCATCAGTGCAAGGGTGTCTCACCCACAGTGGACTGGGTCCTGACACATCAATCAGTAATTAGGAACATGTGTTACTGCCTGATCTTAAGGAGCTTGTGTCAAGCTGACACAAAATGAGCCATCACAATGACAAATTCACATGCAGGGAACTGGACAGATGGCTCAGCCATTGAGAGTGTGGACTGCTTTGCAGAGGACCTGAGATTGGTTCTTAGCACAGGTTAGCTCACAAATTCCTATAATCCACATAGTTAAAGCAAAATGGTGGGGGTAGGAATGGAGATGGGGAAACTGTGGTGGATATGTATTGAAAACAAACAACAGATCCAAAGTGCATTGGATCACTCTACACCCACACCCAACGTGACACCCATGGTACAGTTTTAGTGGATCACAAAACAAAGTGACAAGAAAGTGGAAGGTAACTTGAGGATGCATATGACTATGACAGGGTTGTGGGGACAGATGGAAATCAGAGAGGATGCCTGGGGTGGGGGTTGAGTGAGACCAGTACATATTATTACATGTATGATATTGCCAAAGATAAATTAAAATGAAAAACTGAACATGATTTTTCTGAGGAAAAAAAGCAAAAACAGATGCTCAACCAACTTTGGGATCTGGGGTCAAATTTGAGTCATCAAGCTTTTTACAAGAAGGGTTATCTAACCCGCCCATGAGGGTTGGATGTCATTGCCAATTTGACCATGTTGAGAACTGACCAGCAGATTAGGGAAGCACACTTCTGGGGAATTTTTGATGCCATTTCCAGAGACAAGTCTTGAGGCCCGGGGCTTAATGAATGGATCCAACCCTTGATTTGAATAGCATATTGGCTTTTTAGGATGGAGTAAAGGCATTAGGGTAAGTCATACTGGATGAAGTCATCACTGGCAGTGCAGTGTGCACTTCGAGGTATCCTGCTCTGTCCTTTCTTGGAGTAAGCACAATTGCCTCCTTATCACCATGATGTAACTGCTCTTCTTACTGTATCCTCCTGACCATGGTAGACATCACTGAAACTGTGAACCAAAACCAATGTAACATGATAATCCAAGGTATCCAGAAGTGTAGATGGGTTTTTATTTGGGCTGCCAGATCACAAAAAATGACACAGAGAGCTATTATTAACAATGAAAAGCTCAACCTATGGATTAGGCTTGTCCCACCAGCTCTTGTAGTGTAAATTAACCCATTTGTAGTAATCTCAGTGTGGCCTTCAGACTTTTTGCCTCTCCTCCAGCTTGTACCTCCTATCTCCTCTCCATAACCTCGTATCCTTCCCTTGTCTCCATTCCATCTCCTCTTCCTTCCTCTTTCTGGCTGGAAGTTCCACATAACCTCTTCCTGCCTAGCTATTGACCACTTCATTCTTTATTAAACCCATCAGAAGGCGCGGTGGCAGAGACACACCTTCACAGTGTACAAAAGATTATTCCTAACACAGAAGCACAGTCACTCACTGCCCACCAGCCTCTAAAGTCCACACGGGTTGATTATTGTCTTTTCCCTAGAGCGCCCTCGTCAAAATTCTAAAGAAATGTGAGGTCCCCAGGGCCCTGTGATGTTCATGAAGTTAGATCATAGGCTTTGACTTGATATATGAGGCTTTCTCTTTTGTTTTGTCCTTCATTAAATGGCCCAGAATAAAACCATTGTCTGTTGCCCCTGCTCATGGTCTGGTTGTACGAATTGTCTCTATAGTTGATGCCACGTACCAAGTGTCTACTGCTGAGATTTGCATGTATCCTCCAAAGGCCTATGTGCCTCAGTGCTACTGGAAAGTGTTGGGAACATCTTTTCTTTTCCTTTTTAACGTTTGTATCAATTTTGCATACCAACCATAATTACCCTTCTCTCCCCTCCTCTGCCCCCCCACCTCCCTCCCACCCCACCTCTCATCCTGTCCTCAGAAAGGGAAAGGCCTCCATGGGTCATCAACAAAGCCTCGCACATCAAGTTGAGGCAGGACCAAGGCCGTCACCCCTAATGCTGAGAACATTTATGCCTAGGTCCCAGGGAGAGATCCTTAGGCATATGAGTCTTGTCACTGAAAGTGACTGTTCTCTCTCTCCATTTATCTCTCTCCCTCCCTTCTCCGTCCCTCCCTGCTTCCCTCCTTCTCTCCCTCCCTTTGCCTCCCTCTCCCTCCCTTCCTCCCTCCTTTCCTCCCTCTCCCTCCTTCCCCCCCCATCTGTTCCACCAGTGCTCTCCTCCCTCCCTTTCCTGGTTCCTGATTTGTGTTCCTGTTATGATGTTCCACTCTTGTGATGTGACACCCCTCCCTAGTCTTGGACTCTATCTTGTATTTGTGAACACAGCCTCTCTAGGTTCACTGCCTTAGGTTGCTGTTGTAAAGCCAAGCTAACTAACACACACATGAATGACTGCTGAATATTGGATTGAGCACTAGGATTATTTCAGGAAAGTTTTGATTACACAGAGCAGGAGGGAGTTTGCACCCCTGGTAGTTAATGTCTACTACCAATAGCATATGGGCAAGTGACTTATCCATCCTGTGCCAAGTCATTTTCTGCAATGCCAACACAAGCCACCCATCCCTCTTTCTGATGTGCCTCTA